CGGCACTCCCTCAGCACTGACCCTCCGACAGTGCGGCACTCCCTCAGTACTGACTGTCAGTTCATTATTTTGACTGGATATATTGTTTTATCTACTTGTAGAATGCACAGTAAGTTTTCAGGGTTTATTTATTTGAAATGAATCTCCAACTGGGAAAGTGTGCAGCTGAACCCTGCTCTTGAACCTTTTAACCTTGGGATGTTTAACAATACTCAATAAAACAAAATACTGTCGATGCTGGAAATATTGAACAAGAATAGGAACAGGTGGAGAAACTCAGCAGGTCTGGCTGCATCTATGGAAAGAGTGACAGAACTTACTTCCAGACCCAGTTCTGAACAAGAGTCATACTTGCCTCGAAACATGAATTCTGTTTCTCTCTCCACAGATCCTGCCAGGCCCGCTGAGTTTTTCCATCATTTTCTGATCTTGTTTCAGATTTCCAGACCAGCTGCGTTTCCCTAATCCCTGCACCCATCCCAGAGTTGCACTCCCCCTACATTGCCCATTTCCTCTCCCCCCCGACCAGCCTCACCTCCTGCTCACTGTCTCCTTGTTTGGTGAATGTTGCTAATTGGTGTTTGTAACAGTTCACAGGCCAGTGCGAGTGCCGCCCAGGAAGGGGAGGTCAGACCTGTTCGCAGTGCAGGGAAGGTTACTGGGGCAATCCGGGTCTGGAATGTCAGGGTAAGGAGACCACAACTTTGGAATGCACATGTACCTGGGGAGGCTCAAACATTTTAACCTCACTTTGTTTTCAGTGGAGATACAGTAAAGGAGGGGCTGCAATGGAGCTGGTTTCTGATCCAGCCTGGCTCACATTCCTGTGAATGATTCCAGAAAAAGTAATTCTCAGGACTTCTGCCGGATACCCCACTTCCCTTGTCTGTGAACCAATCCAGAAGTTCCCTCCGCTCCTGATTAACAGCAGCAAGCCTTTCCTGAGAGGGTGGTGGAGACCTGCTGGAAGTATTGCTGGACCAGTAATCCTGAGAAACAGGCAGACAGCTCCCAGGCCACAGGTTCAAATATAAGAACATAAGAACTAGGAGCAGGAGTAGGCCGTCTGGCCCTTCGAGCCTGCCCCACCATTCAATAAGATCATGGCTGATCTTTTCATGGACTCAGATCCACTTACCCGCGTTCTCACCGTATCCCTTAATTCCTTTATTGTTCAAAAAAATATCTACCTTATCTTTAAAAACGTTTACTGAAGTAGCATCAACTACTTCACTGGGCAAGGAATTCCATAGATTAACAACCCTATGGGTGAAGAAGTTCCTTCTCAATTCAGTCCTAAATCTGCTCCCTCTAATCTTGCGGCTATGCCCTCTTGTCCTAGCTTCACCTGCCAGTGGAAACATCCTCTCTACTTCTATCTTATCTATTCCCTTCATAATTTTATATGTTTCTATAAAATCCCCCCTCAATCTTCTGAATTCCAATGAATATAATCCCAATCTACTCAGTCTCTCCTCATAAGCCAACCCCCTCAACTCCAGAATCAACCTAGTGAACCTCCTTTGCACCCCCTCCAGTGTCAGTACATCCTGGCCAAAGTAAGGAGACCAAAACTGCACACAGTACTCTAGGTGTGGCCTCACCAGCACCTTCTACAGCTGCAACATAACCTCTCTGCTTTTAATCTCAATCCCTTTAGCAATGAAGGACAAAATTCCATTTGCCTTCCTAATTACTTGTTGTACCTGCAGGCCTACCTTCTGTGATTCATGTACAAGGACACCCAGGTCCCTCTGCATAGCAGCATGCTGCAACGTTTTACCATTCAAGTAATAATCCTTTTTACTATTACTCCTACCAAAATGTATGACTTCACATTTATTTACATTGTATTCCATCTGCCAGACCTTTGCCCACTCACTCAATGTATCTATGTTCCTCTGCAAAGTTTCACAGTCCTCTGCACATTTTGCTCTGCCACTCATCGTAGTGTCATCTACAAACTTTGACACCCTACACGTGGTCCCCAACTCCAAATCATCTATATAAATTGTAAATAATTGTGGTCCCAACACCGATCCCTGAGGCACACCACTAGTCACTGACTGCCAGCTAGAATAGCACTCATTTATCCCCAATCTTTGCTTCCTGTTAGTCAACCAATCCTCTATCCATGCTAATACTTTACCCTTAACGCCATGCATTCTTATCTTATGCAGTAGCCTCTTGTGCGGCACCTTGTCGAAGGCCTTTTGGAAATCTAGGTACACCACATCCACTGGGTCCCCATTGTCCACCTCGCTTGTAATGTCTTCATAGAATTCCAAAAGATTTGTCAAGCATGACCTGCCCTTCATGAACCCATGCTGCGTCTACCCAACGGGACAATTTCTATCAAGATGCCTTGCTATTTCTTCCTTGATAATAGACTCGAGCATCTTCCCCACTATAGAGGTTAAGCTAACTGGTCTATAATTCCCCATCTTTTGTCTACTTCCCTTTTTAAACAGTGGCGTCACATTTGCTGTTTTCCAATCTGCTGGGACTGCCCCAGAGTCCAGCAAATTTTGGAAATTTACCGCAGTGCACCTGCTATTTCTCCCGCCATCTCTTTTAGTACCCTGGGATGCATTCCATCAGGGCCAGGAGACTTATCAATCCTTAGCTCCATTAGCTTGCCCAACACTACCTCTTCCGTAATAATGATTGTTTCGAGGTCCTCACCTACCTTCATCTCTTTGTCAATTACTGGCATGTTATTAGTGTCCTCCACTGTGAAGACCGATACAAAATACCTGTTCAATGCCTCGGCCATTTCATCATATCCCATAACTAAATTCCCCTTCTCATCCTCTAAAGGGATAACGTTTACTTTAGCCACTCTTTCTCGTTTTATATATTTATAGAAACTTTTGCCATCTGTCTTTATATTCTGTGCTAGTTTTTTCTCATGTTCTATCTTACTTTTCTTTATAGCTCTTTTTGTGGCTTTCTGTTGACCTTTAAAGTTTTCCCAATCTTCTAGTTTCATGCTGTTTTTGGCCACTTTGTATGCCTTCTCTTTCAATTTGATAGCCTCCCTTATTTCTTTAGACACCCATGGCAGATTACCCCTTTTCTTACAGTCCTTCCTTTTCACTGGAATATACTTTTGCTGAGCACTTTGAAAAATTGCTTTGAAAGTTCTCCATTGCTCGTCAACTGTCCCACCATAAAATCTTTGTTTCCAGTCTACTTTAGCCAAGTCCTCTCTCATTCTATTGTGGTTCCCCTTGTTCAAGCACAGGACCCTGGTATTGGATTTTATCTTCACACTCTCCATCTGTATTCTAAATTCAACCATACTGTGATCACTCCTTCCAAGAGGATCCCTAACTATGAGGTCATTAATTATTCCTGTCTCATTACACAGGACCAGATCTAGGATAGCTTGCTCCCTCGTCGGTTCCATTACATACTGTTCAAGACAACTATCACGGATACACTCAACGAACTCCTCCTCAAGGCTACCCTGACCGAGCTGGTTCGACCAATCCACATGTAGGTTAAAATCCCCCATGATAATTGCCGTACCATTTTTACAGGCGTTAGTTATTTCTTTGTTTATTGCCTGCCCCAATGTGACGTTATTATTTGGTGGCCTATAGACTATGCCTATCAGTGACTTTTTCCTCTTAGAATTTCTAATTTCCACCCAAATGGATTCAACCTCATTCTCCATAGAACCTATATCATCTCTCAGCACCGCCCTGATGGCGTCCTTGAATATCAGGGCTACACCACCTCCCTTACCTTCCTGTCTGTCCTTTCAAATAGTCTGGTACCCTTGGATATTTAACTCCCAGTTGTGACCATCCTGTAACCATGTCTCCGTAATGGCTACCAAATCATATTCATTCGCGATGATTTGTGCCGTTAACTCATCAACCTTGTTACGAATGCTATGAGCATTCAGGTAAAGTGCCTTTATGCTAGCTTTCTTACCCTCATGATTTCCAACATCTCTAATAATATCTCCTGAGTTATCCTTCCTTTTTGCTTCTTTCAGAGTCTGCCTTGAACTTAAACCCTCCTGCACACATGCTAACCTGCTGCTTACCTTTTTATTTACCATCATACTCCCTGTCGTTTTCCCTTTCCCTTCCCCCCAACTCACTAGTTTAAAGTTCTAGTGACCACCCTATTTATCCTTTTCGCTAGAACACTGGTTCCAGATCAGTTCAGGTGGAGACCGTCCCATTGGTACAGATCCCTCCTGTTCCAAAACTGATGCCAATGCCCCATGAAATGGAACCCCTCTTTCCCACACCACTCCCTTACCCATGTGTTTACTTTCCTGATTGTCCTTGTCCCTAAGCCAATTTGCACGTGGCTCAGGCAGTAATCCGGAGATTATGACCCTTGAGGACCTGTTCCTTAATTTCGTTCCTAGTGCTTGATAATCCCCAAACAGGTCCTCCATCCTAGCCTTGCCTATGTTGTTAGTCCCAACGTGGACCACAACAACTGGATCCTCCCCCTCCCGCTCCAATATCCTTTTAAGCCGCTCAGAGATGTCCTGCACCCTGGCACTGGGCAGGCAACACGCCATGCGGGACTCCTGATCCGGCTTGCAAAGGATACTATCTATCCCCCTAACTATAGAATCCCCTATAACTACCACTTGTCTCTTTGCTCCCCCCTCTTGAATGGCCTTCTGCACCATGGTGCCGCGGTGAGCTGGCTCCTCCTCCCCGCAGCACTTTTCCTCATCCACACAGGGAGCAAGTATCTCGTACCTGTTGGATAAGGTCAAAAGCTGAGGCTCCTCCACTCCTGAACTCAGGATCCCCCTACCTGCCTCACTTGTAGTCACACCCTGTCGTCCCTGATCACTAACTGAATTTGAATTACTTAATCTACCAGGTGTGACCGCCTCCTGAAACAAAGCGTCCAGGTAACTCTCCCCCTCCCGGATGTGCCGCAATGTTTGAAGCTCAGATTCCAGATCTTCAACTCTGAGCCGGAGTTCTTCCAGCAACCAACACTTGCTGCAGATGTGGTCACTGCCGTTCACAATGGGATCAGGCAGCTCCCACATCATACAGCTACAGCACATCAGCTGCCCAGCCATCTCTACTTAGTTAATTACTTTATTACTTTATATCAATTTATGAGTTAAATACTTTCTAATACTTCTCTGCTATGGTCTTTTCAAATAATCAATTAATAGATAAATAAAAAAAGAAAGTAAATTTTTAACCAATTACACGATACAGAAGAATACAGCCGCTGCCCAAATATATTCCCGGCAGCCCCCTGGTCCTCACGGTCGCCTCTCCCTCTGCCTGCTGAAAAATATCACCACAGCAGCTGCTGCAAGTTAATTTAATGAATAAATCTGAAATTGAATATTGGTCTCAGTGATGGTGACCATGCAACTAGTATCAGTTATTGTAAAACTTCCTTTAGGGAAGGACATTTAGTCTCACTTACATGTGACTCCAGACCCACAGCAATGTGGTTGACTCTGGGCATTTAGGGATGGGCAATAAATGCTGCCTAGCCTTTTATGCTGATATCCTGTGAAAGGGTAAGTGGGTGTTTGATGAGGGGACTGTGTAGAGAGAGCTTTACTCTGTATCTAACCCTCTGCTGTACCTGTCATGGGAGTGTTTGATGGGGACAGTGTTGAGGGAGCTTTACTCTGTATCTAACCCTCTGCTGTCCCTGTCATGGGAGTGTTTGATGGGGACAGTGTAGAGGGACCTTGGGACCTTTACTCTGTATCTAACCTGTCCTGACCCTGTCTTGGGAGTGTTTGATGGAGATGGTGTGAAAGGAGCTTTACTCTGTATCTAACCCCGTGCTGTCCCTGTCCTGGGAGTGTTTGATGGGGGGGACAGTGTAGAGGGACCTTTACTCTGTATCTAACCCTGTCCTGACCCTGTCTTGGGAGTGTTTGATGGAGATGATGTGGAACGGACTTTACTCTGTATCTAACCCCGTGCTGTCCCTGTCCTGGGAGTGTTTCATGGGGGGAACAGTGTAGAGGGAGCTTTACTCTGTATCTAACCCTGTGCTGTCCCTGTCCTGGGAGTGTTTGATGAGGGGACAGTGTAGAGGGGCTTTACTCTGTATCGAACCCAGAGTTGTATCAGTGTGACCTTGATAGAATGAAGCAGAGAAGGTTCTAATGCTTTGGGGACTCATTTCTCAGCAGTAAGTTGAGAGTTAGGCTGCAACACCTCGAGTGATCCTAACACCTTGTTATCTCTCCGTAGCGTGTGACTGTGATCTGGATGGTTCAGAGACACAGCAATGTGATCGGTCTACAGGCCGCTGTCTCTGTAGGGAGGGTTACACAGGCCCTCGGTGTGACCAGTGTAGCCGCAGTTACCATGGACGTTCTCCGAGCTGTACTCGATGCCACTCCTGCTTCGATTTGTGGGACGAGGAGGTGAAGCAGCTAGGGGAGAGGCTGCGTGCTCTCAAGGAGGCAGTGCACCGCATCACTGTGTCTGGGGCAACTGGAGCAGAGAACAACAGGCTCCAGGAGCTGGAGAAAATGCTACGGGATGTAGAGGCACTGGTCCGAGAGGAACCTGTCACCAGTCCCAGAGTTTTGGAACAGCTCAACGATCTGGCCAACAGTCTCAGGTAGAGTCTCACACACACTCAGAGAGCAGTGCTGCCCAGTGGGAGTGAGAGCACCCTGCTGAGTGCTGGCTGGCCTGACCGCTCCATTTATCAGCAGCAGGAACAGTGACTTATCTCAGTCAGCCCTCATCAGATGAACAGATAGTCCCTCATCATTTTCCTTCATCCTTTATAAAATCTATTCCCTCCTTTTTCCAAGCAGCTCTGGATGGATACCAAAGCTTGGTATTATATTTAACTCTGCACAGTGCTTCCGGTACAGATGACACCATCTCCTATTTCCTGCCTCATGTCCTAACCCTGCCCCTACCTCAACTCAATCTCCCTCCTGAACCTTTTGTCACTCCCAGACGAACCAATGGCAGTCCATACATGGTCACTCTCTAACAATCTACCCTCTGCAAACTTGCTCCAAGTCCCTCTCCCAGACAGTCCCATACTCACTCCCCTGCATCAGTTCCCAGACTGACAGGGTCTTGAGATTCTAATTCTTTTCAAATCCTTCCAGCACCTACATCCCTCCCTATCTCTGTAACCCCCTCCAGCCCCTACATCCCTCCCTATCTCTGTAACTCCCTCCAGCCCCTACACCCCTCCCTATCTCTGTAACCTCCTCCAGCCC